AGAAAGAGGCAAAAGTAGGGAAAAATGGAAATATATAATGGATATATAAATTGTCGGATGTATATATAATTTGTCGAGTCGAAGAGAGAAATTGTTCGCTTGGATCGTGCTCGATTATAGCTGACTTGGTCTACTTGGCGATCTGTAATTAATTAATTAGACACCGATAGCGATTGGTTATTATCGCCTAGTTTTAGCAAAAGCGATTATGCTCACTGGCAACGATTATCAACGATGGTTCTCAACTTGTGGAGAACGAGGAAGTTAATTTTTAAGTGATCACTGTTGTCATTTTTAATATTTGTTTGTTAATATAACTGCTACCTGTTATATTGGAAGAATAGTGAAAATTCTTTTGCCATTTAATTCAAAGAAAGAAAAAAAGAAAAAGAAAAATAAAAAGGGAATTTTGCTGAAAAATAAAATTGAAACAACGATAGAAATAATAGCCAGGCAATGAACTTCACTTACTATTAAGATATATGTATCACGTGCAGCCTTGACTGAAGTTTTGAATCTTCTTCGTACTTTTACGACTTCGCTATATCGAGGAGACTGCTACACGGTATAATCTGTCTTTTGCAACGGGAATTAAGTTCTATTCGGTTTAACAAGTACTTACTAGTGGTGGTAAGATCAAGTAGATACGTTGCGACTAGTATAGAAACATGGTGACATTTGTTGAATTGACTTATCATGACTTAATCAATACTTCGACGAGATATTGAAGAGATTTAAAATATTCTTGAAAATTCTAAAACTTATGTCTTTTCTATAATCATCGTATAATTATTTTTTTTTTTATCAAATTAATTGATTTTTCAAACGCATCTTTATTCTAATTTTAATATGGCAACTTCTTAAATTCTTAATTTAATTATTTTACAAATAAGAAAATATTATTATTAACACGTTTTATAAATAAATAAATAAATTAGAAACAGCAAATTCTAAATTATTTCATATTTGTTTGAAAAAAATTCTGGGAAACAAATATATTTTTAAAATCGACTTATATATATATATTTTTTTTTTCTTTTTTTTTGCCACGTGAGTGTGTCGCTGATGCGACTCGTCAGTGTGATGTGCTAAATAGAGAGAGAGACGT